GCCATCCCCACGGTGAGTGATAAGCTCTAGGCCTGTTAGCAGGTAGCGTATGAGAACTATCTCTAAATAACAGGTGCTAGTTTATAGTTTTGATCAGTCTTATTTCCTTCTTTTCTACCATAGTTTACTGTTTTTTTTAAAAAAAAAGTTTGTTGTGATTTTGGTACAAGAGATCATTGGGAAGAGTCCGCCTATTAATACTTTTGTATCTTTATATTTATTATTACTATTATTATTTACTTTATTTATTATTAGCTATTTATTTATTTAGTTATTTATTTATTTTTTTATTTGTAAACTACTTACTTAATTTTTAAATTTTGTAGAACAAAATTTCAAAGAAAAGAGTAGTGTTATATTAGCAATATATAGTATTAGTATTTTTTAAATTTTTATTAAATAACTTTATAATTTCTAATTGTAATACAAATCTGATTTTATCAATGAAATTTTGATATTAATTTTTTTAGCATAGTTTTTATTATTTGTTAATTAGGTTAATAGTTAATGAGTTATTTAGATTTAAAAATATATTATATAACTATAGAAGGTGATGAATAACAATTTGTTACCCCTGTAATACAAACCTATTGGTATAAACTTATCAGTACAGACTTGTTGACACAGACCTGTTGGTACAAACCTATTAGTACAGATCCATTGATATAGACTCATTAGTACAAACCTGTTGATACAGACTTATTGATATAGACTTATTAATACAAACTATAATTTATTTTTATAAAGTTTTAAAAAATATAAAAACTGTTTTTTTGCCCAAGGCAGGAAAGATTTTGTCAGATTCTAACTTGTATTTTTCTAATTTTCTTTAATAAATAAATATTATACCCTTAACTATATATATACCTACTATTATGTATATGTTGTACCTCAGATTAATTCTTGCATCAGATTAAAACTGGCCTAAGTTAGATTAGAGTTAGGGTAAGAATCTGGGAAGGATTTGGGCTTAATTTAAGTCAATCAATATCAATCAGTTAATACGAGCCAAAAAGTTGATATCTGACGCAAGCATTAATCTGAGGCACAACATATATGCTCTTTTTATTGAGTTTTTATAGTATTTTTATAGTATTTTTATTAAGTTTTCTATCCTATTTTTATTGTATTTTTTTCTGGATATTCTTTCTTATTTTTTATATCTTATATCCTATATCTTAAGTTATTTTAAGTTTATCTTTCTTAAGTCTATTTTCCTTGAGTTATATTTGAAGTTTTGTTTGAGTTTTATTTTTTGTATACACATATTTTTACTTTCTTCACATTAAATCAAGTAGTATAGTTAACAAGACTAGTTATCTATACCAACTATTAATCTTAATTCCTTTTTGAATTTTTAAATTCTAACAAGTTTTTTTATCTGTTCATTATCTAGACATACATGATATTTATTATAAATATCCTAAAATTAAACTAGCAATGTTTTGTTACACTGTTATCTTATCTTTATTTAAACTAGAGGCTTGAGTATCAGCATTATTTAATAAATTTTTTATACTTTTTGAAACCTTTTTATATCTATATAAGTAGGGTTAGTAAAGGTTCTAGATTTGAAATCTAGTTTTAAAAACCAGGTTCCAATTTTGAAATCTAGATTTTTAGGTTTATAATAAGTTCTTAGATTTTTAGATTTGTTTTTGAAATTATTTAATATAATAAATATAATAACATAATAAATAAAAAATGACTAACTAAAAAACCAATTAATAACTTATTATATCAATACATCAATACAAAATATAAATTAATTTTATATTTCTAATTATATTTTAAAAAAACCAGGTTTAGAAACTAGGTTTGAAAACCAGGTTTTAGAATTAAATTTTGGAACTTTTAAAAACCAGGTCCTTGGGTTTTTGAAATGGAACCTAAAGGTTCCAAACCAAAAACCAACCCTAAACCAACCTAACCATTTCTATATATAAGTGATCCTTTAATCGAGCAACTAAATCCACAAAGTCCTCTCCACAGTAGTTACACTTTGGCGTGGCGTAGTCGACCAAGTTTGTCAGTTTCCATAACTTTTGTAAAGTTCAAGTGAATTTCTTTTAATGGAAGTCTCCCACGGAACATGACTGTTTATAATTTTATATTTAAAAAGAGATAACGATAAAATTGTATTTTGACAAAATTAATTAAATAAATACTACCCCATTGTCACGTATTATGATTACGTCAGAATGTATTAAAACAGTTTTAAATAAAACAATCATGTTTTAAACATTCCGTTTCAAAACATTTTCCATTCCTAAGTGTGGTGCTTGAGAAACCCCTAGTCATATTATATTCTTTCGAGCAATGAAATAACAAGCGTTGCTCGAACTTGTTTCTTCACTGATTAAAGTAGTGATTACAAGATTATAAATGGTTAGACCACACTCCTGCTATAAAAGCTTGGAAATAATTGAGATAAAAAAAGATATTTAACAACGTTTTCCTATTAAACATAATTCAATGAACTCACTCAAGATTGCCTACAGCTTTTTTCCAGATGTATTTTCGAATTATGTAGATAACTAAATATTGTTTAAGCGAATACAATCAATCTAAATACAGATCAATAAAATTCTCTCTAAATACCAATTATTATTATTATTATTATTTTACTCTAAATGTTGGATTCCTAAGTGCAGTGTTTTTTTGTTAATATTTATACAATTATATAATTATTATAATTTTACGTAGATACGTAACTTATACGTACGTATGTTAAAATTGGTCTATAAGAAAATACTCATATCTGATATCAGATACTGTATAGTACGTACCTGATACGTATCAGGTATTGTACGTACGTACGTATATGCTGTATATTATATACATTACGTATATCTAACATTATGTAATGCTGTATGTTATATACAGTACAAACCAGTTTATATAACGATAATATATAGTGTTGATTATAATTTTTAAATTAAATTAATTTATTTATTTAATTGCAGATATATACATGTCGGTATCTTTAGGTAGTTACAACGTAAATACGTATATCGCAATACTGTAAACTTATATTTTTAACGGTAAATCTTTTACTGTTTTACTAAAAAAAATTCTGCGTATAATAACGATCATTAGGTATGTTATATATATTAATAAATAGTAAAATGATTAATTGAAATAAGATGGATAAGGAAAGTGAATTCAAATGAGTTATGAGCCGTGGAGAGAATTGATATTTGGCGTTTATCATTTATTGAGTAATGGTTATTATTGCCATTAGTACTTACTCTTTCGAGAACATACTTTCGAGCATATTTTCGATCACATCTCATCGTAAGAGATGTATTGAATCTTGCTGCAAAGGATAGCCGTGAAAGTTTGCTAATTAGTTTAAAAATTAACAGTGGGCCATTAGAGATGCCTACATCTGTATGGTTAGATTAGCATTGACGATGTGTCGAGTGTATAAGATTTGAATTAGTTTGTATGCTTGTGAAAATATTTAAATTTCACGTGACTTTATTGGTTCGTAAGCCGAGATATTGCTGTGTTACCTTCGTTGTACAACAGGAGCGTCGAACCACCCTTGATTTTTCCAAAAAACTAATACTCTCCTCCTTTATCTACTTCTCTCCTTAAATATGGCAGGTGAAACGGATAATGGTTGGAAATTTGCTCAATGTTTCGGGGACAAAGGCGAAGTCGAGGACATTACAGAAGGTACTTATCCCTTTGATCTTCCCAGTTGTTATTTTACAGGCTGGATCTAACCATACTGGCTTGTGATGAGACTGTCTTTGTGGGTTCCAACGTAAACATTTGGATGTGCAATGAGTCTTAAGTTCAAAGTTCTTATCGCACTTGTAAATATTCGTGAGAGTGCTCCTGTCACTTAGGATTGAATCTTTGACCGTGTTTATGCAATATTTTCTTCAGATCAACAAAATATTTGCTGATTTGAATATATTTTATAATTTAACAATGCCTTGGATAGATTAGTTTGGACAATGTATATGTGATCTGATTCGTACAGATAGTATTCATACTGTCTTTTAGTGCCAGATCGTGAATCATTTGATGTCGGTTTCTTTTGCAACAAAGATTCTATAGGTCTGACAACTATATTTCCACTATGCAGCTGACATTATCTCGACCGTGGAATTTGACCACACGGGTGATTATCTCGCCACTGGTGACAAAGGAGGACGAGTGGTTTTATTTGAACGAAATGATGGAGTAAGTTATTATTTATATAAATATACATATATATTATATTATATATTTTTTTTCAAAAAAAAAAAGAAAAAAAATTATCATGCGTTTATAAAACACAATATTTCATTATAAATAAAGAAAAAAGGTTGTGAATACAAATTTTATACGGAATTTCAATCGCACGAACCCGAATTTGACTATTTAAAAAGTTTGGAAATCGAAGAAAAGATCAATAAGATCAAATGGTGCAAGCGACAGAATGCTGCACATTTTTTATTATCAACGAATGGTCTGTCTTATAATTATTGAATACTTTCCTAGGGTCTGTTATCATTTTTTAATATATTGTATGTAAAAATAAATACTTTTATTTTTTTATTTTTTTATTTTTTTGTTGAATTCATAGACAAAACTATCAAACTTTGGAAAGTTTTCGAAAAATCTCTAAAAGTGGTGGCTGAAAATAATCTGAGTGATGGTTCGAGACCTCAAAATGGAAAAATTCAACATTTGAGACTACCAAAACTTACACATCATGACACAATCATTGCAGCTGTTCCTCGCAAAGTATATGCTAATGCTCATGCTTATCATATTAATTCCATATCCATTAACTCTGACGGTGAAACATATATATCTGCTGATGACTTAAGAATTAATCTTTGGAATTTAAACATTAGCGATCAAAGTTTTAGTATCCTTTTAATCTTTAACCGATCTTGTTAACTTAGCCATTTATAGTTATTAATTTTGTGCTTTCTAAGATTCCTTCACTGTGAACCAAATTTTTAGATATTGTTGATATTAAGCCGGTAAATATGGAAGAACTGACCGAGGTTATTACCGCTGCGGAGTTTCACCCCATCCATTGCAACCTTTTTATGTACAGTAGCAGTAAAGGGACTATAAAGCTTAGCGATATGAGAGCGGCGGCTTTGTGTGACAAGCATGCAAAATGTATTTTTATCTTTTTTATTTATCGTTCTATAATCATGTCTGTCTATATATTTACAAAATTATCTATTTTTTCATTTTAAGTGTTCGAAGAACAAGAGGATCCAGCAAATAAGTCATTTTTCTCGGAAATTATTTCATCTATTTCTGATGTGAAATTCAGTAAAGATGGTCGATACATCCTCTCGCGTGATTATTTGACCCTTAAAATTTGGGATATAACCATGGAAAATCGACCACTGAAAACAATCAATATTCACGATCATTTACGAAATAAGCTTTGTGACCTTTACGAGAATGATTGTATTTTTGACAAGTTTGAATGTACATTTAGCGGAGATGGCCAGTATGTTACTTTAATATGTATTTGTTATTATTATGTATAATCATTTTTTAACCTTTTTAAATGCTATAGAAATGTCTTGACTGGTTCATATAATAATTATTTCCATATTTATGATCGGGAAGGTCTAACTGATGTTGCTCTGCAGGCTGATAAGAGTGCATTTAAGGCAAAACGTGTCGTATCACCAAAGAGTAATAAAATACTTCGTGGAAAAAATAACAAGAAAGAAGAGATTAATGTGGATGCTATCGATTTCAATAAGAAAATTCTTCATGCTTCGTGGCATCCAAATGAAAATTCGATCGCTGTTGCCGCTACTAATAATCTTTTTATTTTTACGTGCGTATGAACAATAAAATCCATTGACCCTTTTTTTTTGTTATAGTCTTGATTTAGTAGAATATTACTGTTTATTTATTTATTTATCTATCTATTTTTCCCTTTTTTTTTTACTGTCTGAATGACTTTGTCTTTCAAAACCTAAATCCTTTGTTAACTACTTTTAATGTTACGCTACTATTATGCATTCAGCGAGTAAGTCAATCTTTGATATACAATATATATATTTTTTAATAATAATATTTTCGTTTGTTTTAACTTTTTTTTAATATCTATCTAATTTAGGCTATAATAGACTAGTTTCCTGGCCAATAATGAAAAAATCGGCTAAAGCTTAGCCAGCCGATTTTTTTCAAAATCGGCTGATCGATTTCTTATAATGATAATAATTCACGCATAAGCTTTTGATCATTACAAAAAGTTGTTTTTTTTTGTATATATATTGAGCCATACTTTGTGTAACATTAAATATACTTTATATCATTATAGTGCGTAAGCGATGTACTCAAATAATGGAATTAGATCAAATGAGAAATGATACAATATTTTAATTAGCATTAAAGTTTTTAATTAGCGCTATAAACCGTAATATGGTGTTATTGACGGAAATCTGAAGCTCCTGTTGGATTTTTAGATTTTTTTTCTATATTTCCAATAAAAGAATAATTTCACGAGTTTTTTATTATTATTATTATTATTATTATTATTTGAACGCTTTAGATTCAACAAAATTACCCAACAGCTCAAGATTTTACTGATATTTAGGATATAATTGTTATTTAAGTTTTGTAAAAATATCAATATATTTAAATTTAAAAATAAATATATTTTTTTTAATTTATTTTTTTTTATTGTACAAATTCTAATTCTAAAATTTGTTTAGGCCAGCTGGTTTAAAATTTTATAATTTTAGTTAATATTTATTAAATTTAATATTTATTATAATTTATTACAAATGTTGTATTAATTTTACAATAATATTAATAAAATTAAATTTTTTTTAAATAAAGTAAAATTATTAAATTTTATAATATTTTTTAATTTGTAATCAAATTTGTAAATTTTTTAAAATTTTAATTATTTTAATTAATAATTTATTTGTACCAAACCACACGTTTATTAGTAGCTATATTTATAATTGTTATATACAGTATTAACTATCTATAGATATACTATATTATTTGCTACTTAATACTATATATATTTTATAACAACTAACTACAGTATATTATTTAATCAAGCAAAAAATAATTATAATATAATATAATTATTATTTTTAACTTTAATTATATATGTGGAAGAACCAGTTAATGATAGTCAGACTCAATATACAGAGCAGACTTTGGTTTCTTGCACAGCCATGAAAGCCGGGCATATGGTGAGTGACTTTATAGAAGGAACTCAAAAAGTCTTAGTTTTCAACCATCAAATCTTGCTAAGACTCTCTCCCAAAGCATATTCTTTACAACATCTAAAAAAGTTACTATTCCATCTATTTTTCTAAACACTTCTTCACCCAAATTCAAACCTCTCAAAAACCATTCTTCTAAAGACTCAGATAATAACAATATATCCCCAACTACAAATACTATATTAGACAAACCTATTAATCCTCCTCTTTCTAATCTACTTGATCTTTATGATCCTACAACATGCTATAACAAATTTCTATCCTACTACAAACTTCAACTTCTACCTTTACTACAAACACTTGCTTCCTTCATATATTTTATTAAATCAAACTACCCAATCTTCTTTTCTGAACATTATATCAAAATTTCTGTTCAAACAAAAACCAAGCATAATCCTGAAGAAGCACATATATATTTACCACATAAAACTTCTCTTCTACCTAATCATTTCCTACTTCCTTTTAAAAATCTTTCTAACTTTCAAAACACTCCTCTCAAATCTCACTATCCAACAAATATACCATCTTTACAAACCTGTGAATCTCCTTAAATCAACTATCAAACTATCATATATCAAACTCTCTTTCTATTCTTGAATACGCTTTATTTCTAATCAAAATTGCTTTTTTAAATATTAATAGCCTTACTCAAGCTAACAAAAAACTTGCAATTTCAAAAGCTCTCAATAATAATTCTTTCGAAATCTTGGGTCTTTTCGAAACACATCTCTTGAACAAAGAAAAAAAATTTTTCGATAGCCAAATTTCAAACTATACCAGTTTTTGGAGCTCCTACTTCTCACTACACCAAGCAGGTGTTGATATTCTTATTCATCACAGAATTGCAAAACATATTGCTTGCTTACACAACTACCAAGGCCATATTATTGGTTTAGATCTTCATTTCAAAAACCTAGCAATATGTCTTTTACAAATATATATTCCAACTCAGAAAAGAAACAACTCTGTAAAGATATTCAGAATATATTATTAATCTCTCTCAAAACCCCAACTACAAATTAATAATTATAGGTGACTTTAACAGCATTTCAAATCCAAGGCTTAACCGTTTCTCTTCAAAAAAATCCTCTATACCAAAGTCACAACTTATTAAATACTTTCAAAGCCAACAATACAAAGATGTCTATTATTTCTTTTTCTCTAATACCTATAACTATACATTTAAACGAGCTAATATCCAAAACAGGATCGATTAAATATAAACTAACTTATTTATCACCAATATTAAATACACTGATATTCTTTCAAACATACTATAAGAATCTGATTACTATATAATAACTCTAGAAATAACAATCATTCTCAACAAAGCAAAACCACCAAAACAACATAAAAGAAAATGCTACCTTTGAAAAAATTGCTCGAAAAAAACCATCTATAACTATGCTTTCCAAACCTTATACAATCTTCAACATATTTTTTCAAAAATCTAATTAATTACAAATCTCAATTTTATATGGAACCAAATTTACAAAGCTCTAATTAAAGCAGCCAACAAACATATTCTTTTCAAAAAAATGAGAACAATTAAAGAAATCCAAAACTCCCCATCACCCAAACAATCACTTCTTTTTTACACATACAAACAAATACAATTTCTTAAAAATTATTTTTACTCATTCAACTTCTCTAACTTACTTGACCAATATCTAATTCAATATCCTGAAAACTTACTTCAAACCAAATGTTTAACTTATAACCAAATCAAAAATGAATTTCAACTTGTCAAATTTTCCTTTAATTATCAATACCAACAAAATCTATCCCTTAAATTGTAA